CGAACAGCTGCTCCATCTTTCTTTAACTTTGCCTGTCTCACTTAAGCAACAAATTGGCTAATCTAGTATAACTTATTCAGACTGATTACCCCTGTTGGTTAGTATCTTGAGAAAGACTGACTCTGAGCAAGGTAGGAGAGCAGCTTCTGGGTTGCTTTGGTTGCCTTGGTTATTGCTGGTTATTAAAGTGGCTATGTCCAGTATATTACTAAAAATACAAAATCTGAAAAACATTGGTATACCCTTTTATCACGCATGCCATACTCAAGTGTCAAATATAATGTTAAGTACTAAGCGATTTTTTACTTTATGCACGTGGTAGGAATTCAGTGCATTTTATATTCCAATTTATGACCAGAAATTTAAAAAGGAAATCTAGTATTATATTAGGCTAATTCTAGCCACTGTAGAGCTTTTGCCTTTAATTATACCACTACTTTAGTAAGAATACTGGATAAAAAAGAGAGAAGGTGGAAATTGTTGTCCTTTGAGTGTCTTCAGAACAAGAGCTGAAGAACTTGTTAATTATGGAGTTGTATTTTACATAGGTTGTCCCTGATATTTAGGAACAGACATTGAAGTGCACAGTTAAGTTGTCTTTATCTGAAAGTGCAGGTAGAACATAAAAAATGCAGATCTGATCCTGTGTGAAACTAGTTTGTTTGTTTGTTTGGTTATTAGCTTTCCCTCTAAGGCTACAGGTTGTCAGAGTTCACAAGGTAATTTGAAAGCCTTAAGAAATCTCTTAGCAGGCTTGTTTGTGCTGTTGGACTACTTACATCATCTCAGTTGGCCAAGTGCAGTCGTCTTTTTTTTTTTTTTTCCCCTCCTCCCCCGTCTTCATCCAGCACTGAGGAATTAAACCAGAACAGTGTCCTTCTCCTTTCCCTGATTTTTTTAGATTTCTTATTTTCAATCACTCTGGGTTTTTAATTTTTTCACTGCTGTGTAAATTCTTGGGATTAGAACACAGGTTGTTATCTGCATTATTTTGATTGTGATACAGAAAATCTAATCAAAAGCAATACTGGCAATCTGTTCATGAATGGATTTGCTGTGCTTTAATCTTCGAAACCATAACTTTTTTTTTTTTCTTAGTAGCAGTAGTAAAAATAAACAGCTTTTCATAAAGTGTTTCCCTGATTCTTATTTGTTGCCTTCCTCTGTGATTAAAAAACGAGTAGGTCAAGCCTTTATTTGAAAGCATGGATGGCAACTTCTGGTTAGAGTAATTGAGCTTTTAGTTTTGAAAATCAGTACTCTTTCCTCTCTAGAATTCAGATATTGCTATGACAACTGTACTTTTAACTTCAGAATCATGTTGGTCAGCTACGGTTGTGTTAAGTTTAACGTGGGGGTGGTGGGATGAAAAGAGGGCTGGAAATTATGCTGATGCCACATAAAACAGTAATTTTCAAACAATTGTGTTATACCATATGGAGCCTTTTCCGGAAAATTGTAAAACAGAGCACTGAGAATCATCTTTGAGGAAGTAGCAGTAGGTGGTCTGTAGAAGGAACTTATTATAAATGGTCTGCATAAAATGAACTTGTGGGAATTGCTTTTCTAAATATCACTTAGGAAGATACTATTGAGTTCGCTTGGAGTAACTCAGTTCCTGTTGGGCTTTTTTGTGGTCTCTCTAATGTAAACAATACGTGCTCTGAAAGGTGGTATAGTATTGCTCTACTAGTACTGTCTTGTGTGTTTTATATCTATACAAACTTTAGCTGACTTGGCTAATGCTCTTGTCTACTCATGGAGGGGAAATGAGCTATCCCTTAGAAAAGGTCTGCTAGAAACTTAATGCTGAGATGACACTTTGTAATCTTTTGTTGTAAAAGTATTGTTTGTTTCCCTCGCTCTGTGTATTTACCTGCCTGTAAAGAACTCACTGAAGAAAGGATCCTTTTTCTGTAACATTTTTGAAAGAGCTTAGAGTATAAAAAAAGTTACTGTTGTTAAAGGATGACATTATCTAGGAATGTAAGATTTGGTTGTTTCCCTTGTGTCTACCAGCTTCCTTCCATTATCATTTGAAGTATAATTGATCCTCGAGCAAGAGCTTAGGTGCTAAATCCTCTCCTTGCATTGTGTTCTCTTTTAGTACTGTAACATCGCTTAGCCCTGGTTTTGGCTTCTGGTATTTTCTAGACCCTTTGAATAAAACAGGGACGGACTTGATGTGGCATAGGAAACTGTAAAGCAGCTAAATTAAGTTAGCTTTTGTTTTGCAAGTTGTTCAGCATGGGTGTAGGGCATGTATCTAAGCATAAAATTATTGTGCTATGTTGTATGTATTAGATTGAGGGGAGGGGGGGCAAGATGCAAAGGGACTGTATCCCACCTCCATTTTTTCCAAATTTAAGGTACTTACATTTCAGTTTTCATCCAAATCGGGTTTTACAGCATTTAATTTTTTCATTTTCTACTCCCTTCATGACTAGAAAACCATCCATTGGTGGTGGTTGTCTTTTGGAAGCAGTGATGAGAAGATTGCTTAAGCTTGTTGTGTGATGATGATGTTTGTGAATTTAATTCCCAGTAATGCAACGTGAACCATTGTGTCACATGAACGCATTTGAAGTCCTTCAACTTTCTGATTGTCTTTGACACCTTTCATAAATGCTTCATTACCATTGCAGATGAAAATGTTCCCTGTTGGCAGTCGGGCTACACAGTATAATTTAACATACGATTAAGCTCTTCAAAACTGTTCCAAACTTAACTCAGTATAAATCAAACAAATAGTCCTTTACAGTTGTATGTCATGAGTGAAGTTGTCATGTTTAGGTATTCTTAATTTTCTCAGCACAGATAAGCATTTTGTTTCTAAAATTGTGAATAGTGCATGTGGCCAGGACTGCGTATGCACTAGTAACAGACTAGAACAGCTGTTATACTGAATCTTAGAATTTTGTATTGTACTACTTTTTAAAAAAGGGCGGGAAAAAAGCATTTTAGTAGAAATTTTTGTGACCCCTGGAAGACTACAGAAATACCATTTAGATAATCCAGATTATTTGCTGAGATTACTGTGTCTCTTAATGCATTCTGGGGGACCGGAGAAAAAACAGCACCCCAGACAGTGTAACCACTAAAAACTTTTTTACAAGCTGAAAAATGTGGTGTCATGACATAAAGCAGACATTGGTATGTCAGATTATATTTTTCTTTCCTAAATTAGATGTTAAGCACATTGGGAACTCAGTAGGAGCTAGGAGATTCTGCCTCTGAGAAGTGATCTGCAATGGATCGTTGCATGACAATATGCCTTTGTGTGAGGCAGTGACCCCCTAAACCTTGGGAAAACAAAACAAAAAGCGATGCTTGAATCACACATGTGAATATGTTACTGTGCGGTGGTTTTAATGATTTCCAACTTTGCTGTAAGGAAAAGCTATTACTATTTGTGTAATAGCTATTGAAGTGTTATATTTTGCTAGCCTAGCAAAATATGCTAGACTGTATCATTTTGGTTTACTTTAATACACTAATTCTAAGTTTTATTAATCTGGTTGCTGCTACGTAAGCAGCAGAGTTGTCCGTGCATTGAGGTTAACAAGAAAACTAGAGTAACTAGGGAGCTGACCACTATGATTTAAGACAAGGATTAAGATAACTGGTGGAAAAGAAGATGTGACAATTGATGCTTCTCTCCTAGTGCTATTCCAGTGCCTTGCAGCATTACCTTCAAAATCTGCTCGTGTGTAACCTTTGTACTGTGTGTTGCTGATACTTAAAGCATTTTTGTGCTTGAGTTCGGACTTCAAAATGCAGTCCTGAAAAATTTTGCAGGAAAAAGTCTATATCTTTGTATAGCAAAGCCTTTTCATATTGTAGAATGTGATATTTCTAGAAAAAAAGCAACATCAAAGAAAACACGGTGTCTCAGTAAAAAGTAAACCTCATGAGCATGACATTGAAATATTTTTTGACAATTCGATTGGAGAAGATTTCAGAGTTAGTCTTAGTACTTGTAAAAATATTCTGAATGTCTGTTGATCATGATGATTAAATTGTCATGGGACAAGTTGCTCTAGAACAATAAGGGTGCAAGGGTGAGGGGACTCGAATTTCCAGTTGGGGTCTAGATGAGGTTATAGTTTCACCAAGTACTTTTGAAGGCTTTGGTCCAGTTACTGCCAAACATTGCAGTGCTCAGATAATCTTCCAATTTTTCTATATTTGATATGGTCTCATTTTCTTTACGATGTGACTTTGGAATTATTTTGTGAGAGAGTTCAGGTTTCACATCTTGTGGGAAAAAAAGATGCATATTCCTTGCACTTTTGCCATTTCTCATGCTGATTTTGAAGAGATTGAAATCTTGGGTTTGGAGTTTATTTTTTTGTTTGGGTGTTTTTGTTCCCGCCCCCGAAAAATATTTCCAAGGAGACTTAGCTCTGTGAAGTTCAGGATTTTTTTTTTTTTTAAACTTTTTCAGTATATCATGGGAAACGTTAAACAGAAGAATAGTGTAAGACAATGTGAGTAAACCAGGTCTTTAATAGCTCTTGCTTCTTTGAAGTATAGGACCACTTTTCTCCTTAAAAGTACCTTTCCAACTGTTAGTACCTTTATAATTACCTTTACAAGTACATTTACTTAGAGCAGGTTGTCGGTTTGGGGAAGCGGGGGGAATGAAGAGAAAAATGAAGAGAAAAACCTACTAAACTTGCTGCTGTCTGTAAATGTACTTTGTCTTGACCATCTCAATTACTAGCAAGTTAACAATACACAGAAATGACAATAATGCACTAACAAGGAGTACGGTAAAGGAAATTATTTGTATAGTCATGTGTGCCATAAGGAGTACTACTGGAATTTCTTTTTCCGCTGGAAATAGATTACAAAAAAAACCAACATTGAAAGATTATCTTCAGTCTTTTAAGGATGTTCAGCATTTCGGGATCAGAGTGCTTCTCAAGGGAAAAATAAGGGAAATATAATTAACTTTTTTTTTTAAATTTAAGCTAAATAGATTTTTCTTTGTTTAGCTTAGAGCAATAAATGTAGATCTGCAGACTGATGCTGCTCTGCAAGTGGATATCTCAGATGCACTCAGTGAGAGGGACAAAGTGAAATTCACTGTCCATACAAAGGTAAAAGCCTGGGTTTGTACACTGAACATTTTCTTAATTATATGGAAAAGAAAATTTGCTTAAACTGTTTATTGAAACAAGTGTAACACAATCCAAAGGAAATGAGAAAGTAGCATTATCTCATGTTTAAGACACTGTGTAGCTAGAGTGCTTAAGAAAAAGACGGCTAAAAAGTTAAGAAGTTAAAAAACTGTTTAGAAAAAAGTGACGTTCAGTTTTTTGTACTGATGTGTTGTCATGCCATTCCCATGCTTATTAATTGACCTATTTGCAGGTAGAATCTTTAATATACCTCAGTATTCTTCAGTATAGTTTTTTATTAGATTAGCCATGGTTTCCGATTCTAAAAATATTTTTCGTAGTGGAATTACATTCATGAATCATTTTTAGTTACTGCATGTTTATGGCTTTTCTTCTTTTTTTAGATTTGAATGTTTATTGATCACAGAATCACAGAATAGTTGAGGTTGAATAAAATTTCTGGATCATTTAGTCCCATCTCCTCCCTCACTCCTACCATTAAATCAGGGTGAACCAGAGCGCATTGCTCAGGACTTGTCCGTTTGGGTTTTGGATATCTCCAAGGGCGGAGACTCCACAACCTCTTTGGGCAACCCGTTCCAATTGATTGCTGCACTAATTAAGTCGGGGGTAATTATTGCTGTATGAACTTTTTTTTGTCAAATCCTTACTTGGATTATTTTTACAGGGATATTTTTATTGTTCCTTCAAGGTGTTTTTCATATAGTAATGAAAAAATTTTTTTGGGGGGGAGTGGGGTGCGGGGGGTGTGTGTGGTTTTGGTGTGTGGTTTTTTTTTTTTTTTTTTTTTTTTTGTGGTTTTAGTTTGGTTTGGTTTTTTTTCATAATTCTTCCTCCTTTTCTCCTTCTAGAGTTCCTTACCAAATTTCAAACAAAATGAATTTTCTGTTGTCCGGCAACATGAAGAGTTTATTTGGCTTCATGATTCTTTTGTTGAGAATGAGGACTATGCTGGCTATATTGTAAGTATTACAGTTCTTTTGGTGTATGTGCACTGTTTTCCGTGGACTCTATCAAAAGTACTTGTGACTGCTTTTAAATGCAATGGAAACAGCAGATGTTCATTCCTTCTAAAATCAGATCAGATGCTCTAATACTTCATTTTATGCAATTACACAAAATCAACGGTTGAAGCAAGCTTGGAGGAAAGTTACTCTAGTTGTCATACGTTCTTGCCTTTCACTCCTAAGGAGTGAGTAGTTGAATCTGTATCCAAGTGTATTTTTAGTCCACCGTGTTAAGTGTGGGAGATACATGAACTGTATAACTTGGTGGTATTGTTTTTGCAAGCTAATGTTTAACTTAGCTACAAGTTTCATGTTGCCTTTGTTTTAGCTGGAATGGCAGAGTGCAGTAACTGAGCTCTAGTAATTAGACTTCTCCAGTTTTCATTACAAAGATGAGAATCATTTTACCATTAATCAGTTGGAAGGGGAAAACAACAACGCAAATACCATCTAGAACTACAGAGAACCTTAATACACAACAACTTATGGTTTGAAGTTTATTTCAGGCCACCGGGGAATAGAGGTCCCAAAATAGTCACCTTACGATACTGCCTATTAAAAATGGGTGCTGCTGTTCATACTTTAATTACAAATAGGAATATTTGTCATCTTGGTGTGAAAGTTAGGTAGTCATTTTGTGTTTGGGGGGGTGTCTACTGATTCAGAAGGTAAACATATATTTCTAATTGACTAGTGGGTACATTATGATGAATATAATCTGTGATGTGTCATACCATTCTTGAGCTAGTCTTTTTTTTAATCAGAAAAACTATTTGAAGTGACTAGACCTTCAGTGTGGTAATAACTAGTTTCAGGCAGTTGACTGCATAGATGCTGGATTTTTGTTTTTTGTAATGCATTAATGTAATGGGCAAATATCAGTGAACTAAAATTTAAGCATAGCTTAGTTTTGTTCTGTGTCCCTTTACTGATAGCAATTCAGGATTAGTTTGACTGCGGTGTTTTCTCTTTCAATGTTAATATACTATATTACAAGATTAACCTAGAGACTTGTTTACTGTGTGCTTTGTTATTTCAACAGAGGTATCTTTAATGTCAACAGTGCTGCAAGAAAGAACTAGCGCCTGCAAACAATATGGAATGTTTTTGTTGGTTTAAAGTTTTGGGGAGTTATAAATTGATGGTGTGAAAACAATTGTGGAATTCTTTTTTTTCTTCAAACAAGAAACAATCCTTACCAAATAAAGCTAAAAAACCCCTAATTATGAAATGATGATTTCAAATTTTAATTGTATTGGGAAAGCTAGGTATTATTTGGTTTCTGTTGTAATTAAACTACTGAAGCCATTAGTTAAATTTTTAGTAATCTTCAAGGACACTCGGCCAAAATTGGTATAGTAATGCAGCATGTCTAACTCATGAATGAGAGAATTTATCCATAAATGCTGTAATGAATGATGAAAGAGCGAGCCATATATTAAAAAGCTGCAGGCAATTTACAGTTCCTGTACTGAATGGATGGTGTTTGACTGAGAAGATGAGCAATTAAAAAAAATTTGATTCAATTCCAGATTCCACCAGCACCACCCAGGCCTGACTTTGATGCCTCAAGGGAGAAATTGCAGAAACTTGGAGAAGGGGAAGGATCAATGACTAAAGAAGAATTCACCAAGATGAAACAAGAACTGGAGGCGTATGTAGACTTGATTACTACCTTTTTTTTTTTTTTTTTTAAAAATCCCTCAACTTTTAATGCTGTTTGCTGTCCCATGTTTCTGGTTTCACTGTAATGGTTCTCTGTGAGATATAGGCTTGAGAATCCAGTTGCTACATAACTAGGGTTGTCTTAGTGATCATGATCAGAGCCATTAGGAAAATTGTAGAAATAATTTCATAGAAGATCTTCTGAAACAGGAAAAAAAATCAGCTTGTTCTTGAGCATTCTTTTATAAGGAAAAAAGTAGTTAGATTCCTGTCTTCACAGAACATCTGCAAAGGGAGGAGGTAACCTCTATCTTTTTTAGTTCTGGTGTTCCACATTTTATAAGCATAATGAAACTTTAAGGTTTATACGTGTAGTGTTTGAACTAGGGATTTTTGCATGTGGTTGGTACTGTAAACATAAATGCCAGCCTTCTGTTTCCCAAGAAATATGGAGATTACTAGAAAATACCTTTTTTGACGCTGCTTTTTTTTTTTTGCACAAGGAGAATATACTTCCTGAAAATAGTATTTTCCCTTACTGTGAATTTAGTGTGTATTGAAATATCTGCTCTAAGGCTTTTTGTTCCATATCGAGTTACACAGTGAAGTTTCTCCTTGCTTCATCCACTTTACTTATCATGCATTCACTTCTTTGATCTTTTTCCTGTCGTTGGTTTCAGTTTTCAAGTGTATATTTACGCTGCTTCTAGACTGCTTCTATCAAGAGCTCTGAATTGGCAAGAAAAGTACATAGAACTCTTACAACTGCTGCTTTCTCTCCGAACTCCAGCTGCTGTGAGCAAATGTCTTAAAAAGCTCTGTATCAGTGTTATGTACAACATAATTTATAGCAGAGTAGATATACACTTCATATGCAGAAAACTGGAAATTAGCAAAACACTATAGATTTTAAAGAATCTGTGGTTTTCCAGCGGCCCTGATCATGATTCTCTTGTGGTCTGGTTAGGGGTTGGATAACACAGAAAACTTTGGGTTTCTTCTACTGCCACCTCCATCCTCTGCATCCTCCTTTTTTGTCTTCACTGAATGACTACTACTCTCACTGAGATCAAACATCTCCCAACACTGGCCCTGCTGGTTTGCTGGTATGTAAATCTTAACCTCCTTGCACATAGTGGAAGCAAAAGTGTTGATTATCATTTCACCATTTGACCTCAGAATGGGGAAAAGAGCCCCTTCCTCATTTCTAGACAAGTTACATCTTATTGAATTTGCAAAGCAAAATGGATTCTAGCAAACTTGTTTTGATAAGAATGCCTTCCTCTTAATTAAATCACAAATGAGTAATTGCTTTAAAGTTGAGTTGGCTGAACTGGGCAACTATGCGATTGTCATGGTTCAACGTGACTTTTTTTGGTTGTACCTACCAAATGCAGCACTTAATTTCACTTTTAGAACCACTATGAAGCAAGATGTCCACATAAGCTTCAGCCCAAAATGGCTGGGTGCTTTAACATGGAATAAAAGACTACTATCTAAAGAGCTAACAAAACTACATGAATGTTTAAACAAGTAAGGAGGGTGCAAATAGGCAAGGGGATGGAGATGGGGAGGAAGGAATTTGCACATCAGCTACATAGTGCCTAGTGACTGTAGCTTGTATCTCAATTTCTTGAATCTGGGGAGTTGGGGAAAGGATAATTACATGAGGTTACACTTTCAGCAAACCAGTCTGTGTTAGCTAGCCTTAAAAATTAGAATGTATTTGTTGAGTGTTCATTAAATGTCTCTCTATAATATGTTAGGGCTTCAAATTTCCCCCTAGTATTAACATTGTATTATTTATTTATGTATATATCAAATATTAGAGTGATAACCTCTACTATATCAGCGTATAATTTTGTATCCTTACTGAGGATCTCTTAAAGCTGTTCACTAGGCTTGTCTCAAATTTAGTTGCTTCATGTGAAATTCTTATGTCTGTCTTATTTCTTGTTTTCAGTGAATATTTGGCAATATTCAAGAAGACAGTTGCAATGCATGAAGTGTTTTTGTGTCGCGTGGCAGCACATCCTATTTTGAGAAAGGATTTAAATTTCCATGTATTCTTGGAATATAATCAGGATGTGAGTATTGAAAACTGAGTTGCTGGCAAGAGAAATCAAGATGTACTTTTATGGTAGGATGGAAAATTGATTAAGAGGGCTTTACCTCCTGGAGCAAATTGCATCAATTCCTTCATACCAGACATATTTGTATTGTAAAAGTTAGAAATTCATTTAGTCTGTAGTAGTTCATTTTGCTGCCACCTGGGGAACCAAATGCACTATGTGCTCTAGCCTCAGCATCAAAAATATTAATGGGAATCCAATATGTTTTGGGTTAAAAAGATTAGCTTCCCATCGGCAGGCAGGTGTTCAGCCATCTCCAGGAAAGCAGGGCTCCATCACGCGAAATCGTTACTTGGGAAGACAAATGCCATCACCCCGAACGTCCCCCCCTTTCTGCTTCTTCCCCCAGCTTTATAATGCTGAGCATGACATCATATGATACGGAATACCCCATTGGTCAGTTTGGGTCAACTGTCTTGGCTTTGCCCCCTCCCAGCTTCTTGTGCACCTGGCAGAGCACGGGAAGCTGAAAAGTCCTTGATTTAGTGTAAGCACTGCTTAGCAACAACTAAAACATCAGTGTGTTATCAACATTATTCTCATCCTTAATCCAAACCACAGCACTGTACCAGTTACTAGGAAGAAAATTAACTCTATCCCAGCCGAAACCAGGACATGGTGATTTCACGTTACATTATACTTGTCCACTCTTTGACTGAATATTTTTTTTTTTTTTGTGGGAAAGGATGGTGCAACAAAGACGGAACAGCCATTTTTAGGGTTTGGAACTGTGGTTTAAATTCTATTGCTAGCAAAACTAGAGAGGATTTCTAATGAAATGTTCTGATAAGTAAAACTTTTTTGTTAATAATGTAGGTGAAAAGTTGGTTAATTTTTTTCTAGATATTGGACTAGTGTGGCTATCCATGTGTTACATACTGAGTTGCTATCTAATTTTGAGTTAATGGAGAGGACTTTCTGGATTCATAATAACTCTTTGGTGTTAGAGTTAGTGGTTGTTCATATTCTGCAAACAGTTTTTAATTGCTTTTTAAAATTGCAGAAATCAGCATTGAATGTTGAAGAAATCATGACAAAGATTGGCCCAACTGAGTATATGCTTAACTTCAAAATATGTTACAGAGGATCCTCTTGTTGCTTGATGTAGAAATGCTTACTGGTTCAGGAACTCAGTTTACTTAAACTGGGCAAATTTAGATGGACAGGAAGAGTGTGAGGAGGCTGAAACCAACATTATCCTCAGTGCAGTGAGGGGTAAATGCTTCTGTAGTTTCTGAATGTCAAAGATGTGCCATTCTACACTTAAAAGAGCATACCTAGTTATATTAGGTTAACAGCTATACTGTATGTGATAAATACTGTATTATTGATAACTGAAATGTACACCTTGTACATTTGGTATTATTTGTAGGTGCTAGAACATTACTGATTTTTTTTTTTTTTCCTGGAATAGTATTTTAGGTGATAAAGAACAGTCTAGTAAATGAGGTAGTCTGTCATTCTGGGTGCATGGTGCTCTGTCCCCATTAATGCAGAGTAAAAGACTGAGCAGAGAGCAGGAAAACTGGTTTAGGAGTAGCAAGTTGTGGTATGTAGTTCTATTTTTTTTTTTTCTTTTTAAAAAGCTTTTATTGCCTCCAGGAAATGAACGAACTTGATAAATGAATTTGTTTTTCAGTTGAGTGTTCGTGGGAAAAATAAGAAAGAGAAACTTGAAGACTTCTTCAAAAATATGGTTAAATCAGCAGATGGTGTCATTGTTTCAGGAGTAAAGGTGATTACTGCTTAACATATCAAGATTTAAAATGTATTAACATTGTTGTTCCATTTTTTTAATGAAGCGGAATTTTACATCGCTACAAAAAAGGGTTTTTTATAGTGATACCTAACTTGAGAATTAGAGGCAGAGGAACCTGTGGCCCTGGATGCAAGACAACTGAGGGCTATCTGACTGCTTCTGTGAAAGAGAGCTTTCAGT